TGATGCTACTGCGAGGGACATCAAGGGACAGACAGCTCTTCATAAACTGTGTGGCAAGCCATACAGTGTCGACTTTGCCAATTGTTTGAATTGGCTACTTTTGCATGGGTGCCATGTTAACGAAGAGGATTGCTATGGCAGAACTGCACTCCACTATGCTACTAGCTCTCAGTTCACGAATGTGAGCACAGTACAGGCACTTATCAACAAAGGTGCAAATGTAAAGGCCGTAGACAAGGCTGGCTTAAATCCATTACACATGTGTGTTTTGCCAACCGTGCTCGTACCAGTTATGGAGGAAGAGGATGAGTTCCCAGCAAAAGCTGGTGTTTGCGATGTCATTCAGCTACTTGCTTCTGCTGGACTGGATGTTAACACTACAGACAATGCTGACTTCTCACCCCTTCATTTTGCATTGAGAGAGAAAGATGTCGCTGTAATAACAAAGTTACTGCAGCTTGGAGCAGATGTAACCTTGAAAACACGCACAGGGGAGACAGCTCTACATCGCTCTACAATAGATTATGAAACATTCGAAGCATTCATGAGATTTGACAAACACGACAATCTTAACGTAAATATCCAGGACAAATTTCACTCAACTCCTCTGCACTGGGCCATTTGGTACCATGAAGTGCTTGTTGTGAGGAAACTCTTAGAATTTGGTTCTTCACTATCCATCAAAGACAACATGGGAAACACACCTTGTGATATAGCTCGATTACTTGAGGATACCATTATTCTTGAAGAACTAGGCATACTTGATGAGATATCTTATCTCAGAGACGTTACAGGAGTAAATAAAGAGGGAATCATGGATGCTCATGCTGCACCAGATCTTTTGGAAATCGATACAGCTTTGCATTGTGCAGGACTGTTCTCTCCCTCTGCCCACTCTGGCCCCTTGCAAGAATCATGTGAAACAGATACTACAGAAAGTCATAATACCATAGAAAGATTTGCACATTCTAGTGCCAAAATAAAAACGAGAGAAAAAACTCAATCTGACACGAATGTCACATCAGTTACAATGAACAAGAATGAAGAAAAGAAAAATCAGGCAGACAGTAGCCTTGCAGTTCGTGACGACGAACACAGCCCTGCAGATGTTTCTTCCCACGTGACTGTCCATGAAAATCAAGATACAGCTTCAGAAAACTCGCCTTCTTGGGAAACCTGCAGTTCAGCTGATTCAGTTGTTTTTGTTGTTGAAAGAGAGTGTAGCGGGAAGACGGACATGTATCCTGATTGTCCAATTTTGCGCGAAATAGATCATCAAGGAAGAAGTGTCATGTTCAGGGAATGGACAGAACACCTAGTAGAACACAGAGGCCCTCTCAACCATTACGCAAAAAGATTTGTTTTAGACTGCAGAGACATGGGATTGTGTCCTGACAACATGGAAAACACTGACATTGCAGCTGCAATACATGACACTATAACAAATGCTGCTTCTAAGGTGGCTCAGCTGAATCCTCTACTCAAATGTGATGTAAGTTTGTCTGGTAGTTGGGCTGAAGGCACAAAAATTGGATTTCCAAATGAGTTTGATTATAAATGGACTTTGATCAATTTCAATGACAGTTTTATCCCGGAAGAAGCAGAAACACATCCTTTGGGATACACAAAATTGCGACTGCGGGAGAGTGAAGCTTTTGATCACAATTTGACGCGCTACGTGGACACTGATGGTTTCCTAGATAGTAGGAATTTGATTCGTGACCTCTATACAACGATCAACGATGCTATTTTTAGTGGAGGTATTATTGCCTCTGAAAGTCTTTACCTCAGAAAACATCTCAAAGTTGACAAGGGTTCCATCAGCAAGTTGGCCTTCCGCTGGGTTGGAACACTGTTTAAAGATTTGCTAATCGAAGTAGACATTGTACCGGCCATCAAACCATCTGTGTGGACACCTAGATGTATTGAAGTGAATCACTCTGGCCTCATAACGTCTCCAAAAGAAAGCAAAACTAGCATAGTGCTCAAAACACCAAGTCCACGCTTGGTAAAGAACTGGAATGCACATTTCCGCATATCTGTATCTGAATATGAAGCCCAGATTTTGCAAAATATCCCCCTTCCTGTTCTGCGTGGGTACATCTTGCTAAAGTCGCTAAAGGACACCTTGTACATGCCACAAATATACGACCACGATCAGATAGACGGCCTAATGGAGGCAACTATATCTACATACATGTTGAAGACGTGTTTTCTGCACGAGCTCAAGGCGGCCAAGGATACTTGTGACCCTACGCTGGAGCTGGCTAGAGACAGCAAGTCAGATGAAGTCAGCATAACATGGGCAAGGAGGATCATCGAACGTATGGAATTATCCATCGAAAGAAGCGAGCTGAAGAGCTTCTTTGTGCCTGGAGTGAACTTACTTGTCAACCATAGCATGACAGTTGTCAATGATCAATACATACTGGAAGCTGAATGTCAGTGTCTGAGCCATCTGCTAAATGTAGCTATACTGCATGAGTTCAGTGACTAACGCAATTGTGGTTCAGTTTCAAGTTTGATGGAGTTAATGGTCCACCCATTCAATAATCCGGCTCATTAGGGTTACATTTCCTTTAGTACATGTGTTTTTTTTTATAGTGTGAACATGATTTACCTCTTCACTGTTCAGGCAATTATCAAGAAGTACTCTGAGAGGACAATCAAATCAACAACAACAACAACAACAACAACAACAACTTATTCATTATCTCTCCATTTCACGTTACAAATATTATATTATACAAATAATTATATTATACATTGTAGTTGTTGCCCTGTAAATAGCTACAGCTCATCTAAGCGGGGCAAGATAAAAGCGCTGACACATTACATAAAAGAAAGTTGATAAAATTACATTACCATAGTCACCGAAAATACTGAAAAAAAAAGATAGGCTGCAATTAGATTGCATAACAATTACAGTAATTTACGAGTACGGTTTCATGTGCGTTTGGTTAAACTATAAGTAATCAAATATCAAACAGCGCACTTTGCCCAGGTTTTGAGGACTCTCTATTCCGCTGGCTTACATACACTTGTAGACCACTTTTATAAATGGCTGCCGGATTAAAATTCTTTTGTTTACATATAAATTTGCCTGGGTGGCCTCGTTCTTCAGTACAAAATTCAAAAGAATACATTATCTCAAGCGAGGCCACTCGGGCAAATTTAAATTTAAACAAAAGAATATTAATCCGGCAGCCATTTATGAAAGTGGTCTATAGCCTTGAATGAACCTTCTCGCAAGGCGCTCTGCCGGAGAGCTCAGATTTGTGTGACGTGTCACGGCTCTGCAAAGTGTTGTACAAGGCATATGAATTAAGGCTTGACAGCGGGACACTTTTATGAGCCCATATAATTCAATTTCACGCGGCAATTTTAACTTCGTGACCAATGGGACGCTAGATCTCGCTGTAGCGGTTGCCCAGTCTCCAACCTGTTTTCCAACAGGAAGTGTTACTTCAGAGCGAAAAACAGAATGACATCGAGATTGCCTTATGGTACTCTACATCTCGCTATAGGAGTAAGGCATCTCCCTTTTCCAATTTAATATGAATTGGGTTATGGGGAATCAATATTTCGAAGGCAATTGACAAGACAAGCCGAATTAACGCCAAAATCTCTGCTGGAAAGGCACAAAGTGCTACCTTTCTCAGGCCTCTTATCACTCTCCTCGTCCGCCATATTGGATCAAACAAGAAGGGTGACTGCATTTTTAGTCACTCGTATGTATTTCATGTAATTATGATTAAGATATTATTGTATTCAAAGCCAGTGGATATAATGTGATTATCATAATTCCAGTCTCTACAACTGTGAATTGCGACAAGAATTGAATTAAACACGTCGTATTCTCTGAAAAACTTACCGGTCCTGATTCGAATGTTTGCGACTATAATGGGTTTTTTTAGCCTAAAAACCTCGTGATACGCCATTTAAGGAATGAACCGAAAATGAATGATTACCACTAAAAAACAATGTGGCTTTTAAATTAATTGTGATAAATTACTTGAACACCGTCAACTATCGACTTTTTTTGCATCTAAAACAAAAGACCATCGGCGTCTTTAACTTTTTCGCAAGCAGTAAGTTCTTTGCTTAGCTTTTGACTATTCGAATTGCCTTTGCTGTCGTTATTTTTTATGTCGTAAGTATTGTTGGGAAGAACCAGGCAAAACAGAATTATATACAAACAAATTTGCACAAACGATAAAGCGGTTGGACACATATCTCATAGATACAGGCATACACTAATAATTCTTACAACTATTTACCTAGCAAAACATCAGCTGTTTATAAACCTTGTTGAAACTTCCTCACTCCTGCGCGTGGCGCGGATTTAGTTATGCGCGGCGCGGGTTCAATGAAAATGTAACACAAGGTTTTCGAGTAAGTTAGTTGAGTTTTCATCGATTAAAATTGATAATCAAAGACAGTTCGAGTGATCATTACAAACCTATAAAGAAACACTCTTACAACCGTAAATTTAAAAACTGATGCATCGAAAGGAAGGTTTCATACCTATGTGCAAAAAGGGCTGCATTATGCAAAAACTAATGCTGCCATTCTATACTGAGTTGCCTGATTTAGAAACTGTGTGCTGCAAACCCAGTTGTGCACACGTGGCATTAACAGCGGTGATCTGTTTAACTTAAGGCGCGTATGGAATACATGTGCAGCTGGTGTATGTATTGAAACTCTTGGCCAGCTAAAAAAAAAAAACTTAAGGCACCGTCTCCTCCTCTACCCTTCCCGACAGTTTTTAGCCACATTAAATACAAGTCAGAGGTTTTACAAGATTCTTAAGTAACCACCTCAAATAACATTATCTTTTATAAGGAGAAGGATGAGACTTAACCGGTTGGTGAAAAAGTTACGTAGCAGGGTTCCGAAAGGCAGCAGGCCACAAAATGAACTATAAACAACTCTTTTCAATGGCCGTTTCTGCCTTATACAAAGCCTGATACGTTAGACGCCTTCCTTTATGGCTTTTCTTGAAGGAATTTCTCTTAGTCACTTCCAAAGTGCTCAATAAGAGGGCGAAGGTGTGAGGCTACGTTTAATAACCAGCTCTTCTTCTTAGAGTTCCCACATAAATCCACAACGAAAACACCCCCTGGGGGTAGGGATGAATGTGCACAGCTAAAGCGAATTCTACATCTGGGTCCTCTAATGAGTGCACGCCAGTGCTGAACACCGCCTCCGATACTGGAGGCATGTCGGTAAAGGACATGTTGATGGGAAAACCAGACAACTGAAAGGGATCAAAACATTGGAGTCAATACAGTGATACTAATAAACGCCGTGTGGCAGATGCTGAACTAAGCTTGACACACAGACAATATTGGTAGAGTACTGGTCATGGTTCCCTGTGCCCGTTAAGCGTTTCTTATAATTTGGTCATGATAGCTTGATATTATTGGAAGACAGCTGATAAAGTTATCAATTCTCACCACCTTAATGCTGGATAATATATTCAAATAGTGTGGAGAAGTTACAAGTCAATCACCACTGGGAGGTAAAGGGTTAAGGCTGAGGAAAATAATTGATTTCTAACGATATTTGCTCTTACGGAAATGATGACGAATCACACTTGATTTGATCGCAGAAAGGAAAAAGCAACAGATAAGGTACCTCATTAATAGCAACAGAAGCAGTAATAACAACAATATAACTAATGATAATAAAAAGGACGAAGAAAATGATCACGATCATGACAATGCTAATGATATAAGACAATATGATATAAGTACATGTACCTAGTTCACATTACATATAAAAGGCAAAATAGCTATGGGCTGCCTCTCGATGATTCTAGTGAAGGTGAAGTGCCTTATTTAAACATAATTATTATTCTAGTTTTCATATCTGCTTTTACGATACCTAACCCCACGCACCTTGTAAGAGGCGAGAATTTGGTCCAGCTCAGCCGCATGATTTACATTAGCAGCGTTACTGACACTCTGTTCCATGCTGAACACAAAAAAACCAAACAACACTGTTCAAAATAGTTAATAATCATTCACCGAAGTGGATGTGAAAAGTGGTAGATATTTACCGAGTCGTGTAGCAACAAGGTAAATATCCACCATTTTCAAAGACACCGAGGTGAATATACCACATAAAAAACCAAACAATTACTGAAAAGTAGTCGGGATTTAACCGAAACAGTTTTTACTTCGTAAAGAATTCATGAAATACCATAGCTTCTCAGTCCTGTTTCGAAAATATATCGTGAACGCGCCATTTTATACATTCACAAGTGAATAAAACAAAGTGTCATGGAGGTTTTTTGCCCTCTCACTGGGGAGAAATACTATCACCATTCGAAGATGAAATTCGTATCCACACTCGGCCATGTTATAAATAAACATGACCACGCGTGGATTATTTTAACGAATTATTTCTAAAAAATAATCAATGGTAAGGATAAAGAAATTGGAAGTCTATGCAGTCAGTCTATCTGAGGAGCAAACAATACTTCCAAAGTAGAAAATATGTTTTGGCTTAAGGTTTGAAGGATTACACCATTCATTTCCGTATTTGATGTGAAGATATATTCACTGCTACCGTTATGTGCAATATCGTTACTCTGCTACATATTTATTCAACTCCTTCTTACCTGGCTAAAAGACTCCTAAATGCTTGTGTACAGTATCTGACAAAGAGAGACGAATATCATTCCAAGCCTAAACCTAGCATGATGTTTCCTTGGAGAATTTAATAACTGAGGTTAAGATAATACGCTTCGAATAACCTGAATCACTACGAGGATATCTTACTTCTACACTTCGTTTTAAAGAATTACTCTATCCTCCTATGTTTCCACACACAGTCCGATACATCGCCATGAGGTTGCTTAACAACAAGCAAGAAAGGTTTTAAGTTCAGTGGATGCCGGCGATCATTTCCTTTGTAAATATACAGTGTAACATTTAAAAGATTCGTTACCTGTTCCATCTGGTGACAAAACGAGGTCTCCACGACATTATTTTCTCTCGCAACATCTTTTCAATCCTAAAAAATAAATGCCAAAAAAAGAATTATTTGTCATCACACCTCATCATCCAAACAGCAGCTTGGACTGTCATAAGAACAGTAGGCGAATACATGCGAATGTGACCTTTGGGAATGGACAGAATACGTACTTTTCTTGAAGTCCAGTGACATATTCCTGGTCCACACGCTTGTATTCAAGAATTTCCCTCTGAGGAAGAAAACAATAACAACCACATTGAACATAATCAACCATTTAGTCACAGATAGTCCTCTTCTCAACATAACAAACAGAGACTAAGAAAGCTATATTCTTATGTGATTACATGAAGTTTAAGCGAGCTTAAAATCAAGCAAAAGTTAGTTTCCCTCCCTACCTAACACTACTGAATCCTGTGTTAGTTAAGTAACACTTGTATTCCTTCCGCACCCTGGTCTCTCAGAGTTTGTTTTGACATCGAACGTTACGGTAAAGCCTTGTTTTTACCAGTGACGCAAGCACAAGCGCAAACGCAAACGCACGCATAAGGTAAATATACCAAGTGAAAACGAGCGTCGACGAGCACAAGCACAAGTACGAGAAAAAGGAAAAATTCTCATCCTTGTGCTTGTGCTTGTGTTTATGGCTTGAGTCGAGGCCGTTTTCACAGTGAAATATGAGCTGCTGTGCTTGTGTTTGTGCTTGCGTCGCTAGTGAGAAACCAGGTTTAGGGGTGACGTTGAACCAGAACCCAGGTAATAACTAGAGCCAATCACCAAAAAATAAATAATATAACAATATAGCTATGAGCTATAGCAACAACAATATAGTATATAACAATATATAGCTATAACAATATAGCTATGAGAGCATAACTATAAACAAGCGCAACACTTGAAGCACGGGAAACACGATTAACCACGTCACGAGCAGTTGAAGTCTTACGTCTGATTGGTTGAAAGAGTGGCGCCAGTTTTCCTAACCAATCACATAGCGAAGTAAAGAAAAACCATGGCAATCTCGAAGTATATCAGCACACAATAGAAAATTACTCTAGGCATCTTTACCTGGTTGCTTAGTAACCCCGGCCTTGGATACGCCTTGGTAAAGAAAGGCTGCCACGAGTTGGTTTTTGTTAAGTCGAACAACAGTCTATATGGCTCTTCAGATACCTGGACATTAGCCCAGATCTAAAAACCGGAAACCATGAAACAAAATTAATTAGAAATCTGTGATAGGATCTGTTAGGAGCTAATAATCGCACTCAGCCAGCAAGTTGAATTAGTGATAATGTTGTTATGAGCAATTTAGATTCCAAAACTGAGGCAGGGGCGATTCGAAGACGTGCACAAGACTCATACGATAAGAAGACAAAAACATTAAGCACTTCCCTATTGGAATGTAAGTGATCTTTGGAGGATTGGTGCATGCAAACCGAGAAATGTACTGTTAGGTATAGGGAGTAACCTTAGAAAATACCTCCTTGACATAACAAACGTACATTTTCGTGATTAAAGACACAACCAATGCCTTTTAACGGGCAATTAGTATCCTGTACATCATATTTATGTCCCGTATGAGCATTCCACAACAGAGGGGATCCATCCAACGTCAGAACATAAGCCGTGGAGCCTGGAAAAGAGCCTGAGTTAAGAAATTGACTCCACAAATTAAACTTTTGACGGACACATGTTCTACATGATAGAGGAATGACAAGGGCCGATGGTGCAGGAGACTGTTACGGCTAATTCTGGGATGAAAGTCATACAAGGTTTTGATCAATTATTCACACTGATTAATCCATTATATTCGCTGGATCTTTTTCGAAAAAACTGGGTCCGCGTGGTATGTGAGTGATATTTCGTAAACAAACCTTCAGGTATTCCTCTTCCGAGAACAACGTAAGCTCTCTTGCCAATATGTAAGAAATAATTACAGAGTAGGACAGCATGTTCTTCCTCGTCCCCTGCCAACATTCGAAGAAATTCCTACCGGAAAAAAAAGACAAAAAAGACACCTTAAACTCTTGCTGTCATTACTTACAGCTCATTCCCTTTTAGGCGTTGTACGTACCTCGGAAGTGGACCAGATATCACAAAGATCCGGAAACGCAGCAGAGTCAGATACAAAAGGAATCATGGACACAAAACGAGCAATACGTTCCTGAAAGCACAAAAGAATTGCTAAATTTGGAGTCTTGCTCTTGCCACACTGAAAGCAACCTATTCTCTCCCTTAAAGTGTGCTGCAATGATTGACGTATATGAACATTCTACGCTGTTGTCATGGCTATACTTGAAGGACTCCTCTTTGTTCAACTTACATTTCCCACGTGATCAGCACTGATTTAAAAGGCAATTGAACAAAATTTTATTTTACCCTTACCATTTTGTATTGTGTTTCTTCAAGTAACTCAGCAGGAGGATTTTGCGATCTGATGTAGCGGGTCAAAAACACTTTCTTGCCTGCCAGGTTAGTTGCCAGTGCCTGTGAAATAAAGTGACCTTTACGTGATTAACTTGTAACTTCTCTTCACAATTTTGGCACATCAGGCAAATGGATGATGAAAATGGGCGACCCTGCGTAGGTGCCCTGCAAAAAGAAAGCAGCGAGACGACAGGAAGGTGGAACGAGCGCAGCGATCAAATGAGAAAATGCCTCATAATTGAGCCTACGGGAAAATCTTTGGCTTTCCTACTGTCCTTCCCTTTCGTCAAAATATTGATCAAAATATTGATCAAAATAAATCAATTAGCAGGGCGACGATGCCTTTGAAACTTAAAAGAAAAGAGGGGCCGGCAAATGTGTATAAATTGCTTATTTGAAAAAGGAACTCTTTAAATATCACTGCGAGACAAAATATTTGGAAAATGTGGGGAAAAGACAGGTAACTTTGAGAGCAAACCTTGAATTCTCTTTTTGGAAACTTTTTCCTCAGGCCTGAAAGCCACAACTG